GAGGGGCAACAATGCAAGGGCAATCCTCTCTTGGATGGTTCATCAGCATTTAAGAAACTTGAAAAACTGAGTCCCAAAGAACTGTGGAGGCAATGAAGTTAGAAGGTATTGAATTCTTAAGATAGGGCTGATGCAGGTTTTTGAACAATTTTCAGTCTGCATTTGCCAGGGTGGATTCATGCAGACAAAATGCAGTCTCTTCCCATCCATTGGAGATAAGTAGAGAAATAATCATTAACAGCTCTATTTCCTGCCACAGACCAAAGTGGGTTTTTAAGCTCTCATGCTTGTAGTATGTAAAGAAACATTCAAGGGATAGGACCGTGACCACTCACCTGGCTAAGTAATTCACGATCCTGGGACTCCTATTACTCTCCATGATCCTGATTTCATTCATGGTTAGTATCTTCCTACTCACTCCTTGCACATTTATTTTCTTGATGGCCACCTCAAATGACATTGAAAAGGAGTAATTTGAGAAAATTGGTAGCATGAGACCACAACCCACATGGAGCAAGTGATTTTGGAATGGCACAGCCAAGCTGTGCCAAAGTGCCTTGTGATTAGACCTCATCATTGGAGTAATTAGGAAGTGACATTCCAACAGCCCATTTCTCTGCTCCCTTGGGGGTCAGTTACAGGACATGTGGCCACTGAGGATTTGCCTTGTCCACAAAGCCTGTTCCAAGTGCAATTTGCAGGCTGGCTCCAGTCTGTGCTTCTTGTGCCTTTTCAGCACAGCTCTACTCAAAGCTCCAGCCACAGCTGTCAGCAGTGGGGAAAGGCCTGGAGAGCAGCAGAGGCTGCAGGGGCTGTTGACATTTACCTCTCCTCCTGTTGCAATGTCAAGTGCTCTGGAAACCTCTCCAAAACCCCTAGAAACAAAACAGCAGCAAAGAAAGGAGAAGCCATTTAGATCTTGCAGTGGAAGCCAGTCCAGACAGGAGAGCTCTGCTGTAAATGCCTAAAAGCTGCAGGTTGCAGGAGGGGTCTGCCAGAAGGCAGATGATGCATTTTCCCCTCAAGTGCCTGGGCACTGGGCCTGTTCCTGAAGCCTTGGGCTTTACTGCCTCAGCTCCAAAAGGCAGCTTATTCCTTCATCTCGGCTATCAGCTTCTAAACTGTGCAATTCTAATCCTGAGCATGGAGTATTTCCTTTAGCAAACTCTTGGAGAGAAATGTTCCTGAGAACTGTTATCTGACAGCTCTCATTGGGGGTAGGTTGTGCTTTCAGGCAAGCAAGATTCTTCTCCTTTCATTAGTGTGGCCAGATGATTTGGAGACATCCCAAAATGCGAAGGAAATGAATCCTGAGCTGTCCCACACTTGAGAGACAAGCAGATTTACCAGGTTCTGTTCCTTGCTGCAGGCAAGACCTTGGCAGCATGGAGATGTCTTTGACAATGCCTTCTGAGCACACTTGACAAATTTTGGCCAGTACTGAGAGATGGGGCAGACTAAGCCCGCTGTCTAAATATGTGGACAACTTGTCTGACTTCCCACTTGATGGATATTCCCCCAGGGAAACACCTGGCCCATGGCTGTGTAGAAGTGACTGTGGTTGGACTCACCCGCTGCCAAGACTTTCCAGTTCGATGTATTTTGTGATGGGATTTTCCTTGTTCACCATTCTCCCTGAGGGAAACAAAATGCAAGATGCTGACTTTCAGGCAGAGATCCCAACTTGCAGGAGATGCCAAAGGCAGCCCCGCTGTCTGGGGCTCTGAACCCTCTGTGGTCAGCTGGGCAGCAAGCACAGCAGCAACAAGACAGGCAGTTGTGCAGTACAAATGGGCAGCAGAGAGACTGATTTTGTCCAGTCCTTGGAAGGAAATGAAGCGCAGAGAGCACAGCAGGGCACAGCACAAGGCTGGCAAAGGCCAAGCATGAGCACTGACAAGCAATGGCAAGAAGACACAGCCAGCCTGAGCCCCTGACAAGCTGTGGCCCCCGTTCAGGACACACCAGCATTGCCTTGGAGATCAGACACAGCCAGGTGCAGATCAAGGCCCTTTTGTGTCCCAGCAGGTGAAGGTAGACACCAAATCAGCTGGGATCTTTTCTCAGCCCCACCAGGTCTTTTCTGAGAGCACAGCACTGGCAGCTGTTATGGGCAAGAAGCAGATTAAATGCGTTGTGCTGCAGAATCACAGAGGGCTTGATGTGTTTTTCCAGAGACTGATCTGAGCAGGTCTTGGGCCAATAGGTAGGATTCTAAGAGTCATGGGAATGGCTGGGAATCAGGGATGAAAAAGTGCCATGGATCTGAGGAATACACAGCACAGGGGCTGCAGGCTCGCTCCTGAGAAATGCCTGCAGTGCTGTTTTATCTGATCACACCATGTGGATGTGTCTCTTGGACACATCTTTAGAAAAATAAAACTAGGATATTAATTACAGATTGTTATACAAATATCTGTTTCTTCATTGTGGGCCCAATGAAAACATCTCTTGCTCTCTGTTTCTGCTGTCACCTGATGTTCTTTCAAAGGAGTCCTCACTGACAAAAATACAGCATTCTCATAAAAACCTTGTAGATGTAGTAGAGGCAATAAAAACAGTCCTAAAAATGACAGCAGTAAGACACATGGGGCAGAACAGCTCTTTCAGGATGGAGAAAAAACAAACTCTACCAAAAAACACCAAATCTGAAACCAAAAAGGATAGAAACTGAAAACTAAAAACAGAACCACAACAAAAAGACAAAACCCCAAATCCAATTAATATCTCTGAAGTCTTTTGGTTCTGACGACAGGTGGGAAGTCTGGAGTCTAAGGAGAATTTAGGAATCAAATATTCTGTTCAGTTTGGCCACTAGCACACAGAACTTGCATAGATCATTTGCTGGGCCACAGCCTTCTGCTGATCCAAGAACAATTCCTGCTTCTGCCTTTAGTGGCAAGGGAATGCCAGGCAAAGCCGAGCCAGTCCAAGCTGCCCTCAGAGGCAGCAGGAACAGCCAGAGCACTCTCTCGCTGCCTCAGAGCACAGCAGTTCCTGTGGGGAGTCCTAAATGTCTCTGGGACACCAAAGTGAGGAGGATCATTTGCTACAGCTCTGCTGGCACGTGCACACAATACACTGTCCCTCAGACAAGAAATACACCAGACGTACTCAGTTGCTCCACGAAGTCTCCCTGGCTCTCCTGGAGCTGAGCAGCAGATGTGTCACTGCTGGAAATGGACAAACTGCCCAGGATCCACTGCTCAGCTTGGGGAACAAAGGCTCCTTTAGATGCTGCTGCTGCTGCTGCTGCAGCAGATTGAATGGAAGAGCCTGTGTAGATCTGCGAGAAGAAAGGAGTTTGTGTCAGAAAGCTGGCTGGCAGAGATTACCCCGAGTTCCCTTTTCAAATGCAAGCCCTTAGGAAGTTGCTGTTAGCCACATGCAAAGCTCATCAACTGGATTTTTTGGATGCCCACTTCTGGAACCAAATGGTCAAAACCCAAGGTTGGTTTTAATCAAGTTGATGGCCAGTTTCATATTCCATTTTCCTGGATTTTCTGAAGGATGACTGCAACAATGACCATTGCACTTCCTCCCAAGGATCCCTTTCCCCCTCCAAGGGCTGCAGACACATTTGCAGCTCCTTGTTCTAATGTTGGAGCTCCTCCCCCTCAGTCCTCTTTTCCTGCACCATCTTCAGAAGGTGCTCAGTTTGCAGCACTTGTGCTTGGGACAGTACCTGTGCCTGCCGCCGACCTTGGGGCTCTTCATCAGCCGGCATTTGCTGGAAGCCTTCGCAGGCTGCCAGGTGAGATATCAACACGTCCACCTCAAGTCAAAGAGAACAAAGCAGTCAGAGACCACAGCTTGTCCCTGTGTGCCAAGGCTCATTGACTGTGAGCAAAGGGAAAGAGCAGGACAGCAGCAGATTCACCAAGGGATACAGCCAGCTTGCAGCTTGTATTCCAAATCTGTCTGGGGGACTGTGTTCACTTGCAAAAAGCCCTGAA